TGCCCCGCGGGCCACCCAGGGGCAGCGGCAGCGGCAGCAGCAGGAGCAGCGGCAGGAACCGCAGCCCGTGCAACCCGCCAGGGAACGCCGCCATCGCGCCACGCGTCGCCTTTAAGCCGCTTTTCTGACGGCGGACGAGGGCTGCTCCTTAAAGGGGCAACGGGGAGGGGCTATCAGGCCCCTTTCATGCCTCTCCTTAAAGGGAGGGGGCGCTCTGGCCGTGCTGTGAGTCGTCGGAAAGCGCTCGTGACAAGGCCGCGCCTTTAAAAGTTAACGCTGCTTTCCCTCCGACAGTCCCGGCTTTCCTTTCATGACGTCACCCGCAGGATGGCTCCGGAGCCCCGCCCCCAGCTCACACCTTAAAGGCGCAGAGGTGCTCTGTGACCGCGCCCTGACAATGCAGTCCATTTCTTGAGCCCTCTTAAATTGGTTCTGTTCCTCTATACAGAGGCTCCTAATTAGGACCATGTCAACCTCAGTTTCCTCGTTTACGACATGGTTATTTTTGTTTGTTTGTTGCTTCTGAATTACATTTTAAGGGACCAGTGAAAATGACTCAGTGGGTATGAGCGCTTGTTGCCACGCAGGCCACCCTGAGTTCTGGAAGGAGCCAACCAAACCCAAAACTGTTGTCCTCTGACCTCCGTAAGAGTGCTTCCCACCCTGTTTTACTTGTTTCTTTCATTTTCTGTGTACTAGTGTTTTGCCCACGTGTATGTCTGTACACCACGGGTATGCATCAGATCGGCTAGAACTGGAGTTACCGGCGGTTGTGAGCCATCATGTGGCTCTGGGTATCGAACTCAGATCCTCTGGAAGAGCAACAAGTGGTCTTAACTGATGAGTCTTATCTCCAGATCTCTAAATGTATTTTTTTTTACCTTTTTTTTTTTTTTTTGTATTTTTGCGTGTCAGGGAGTGGATGTGGAAGTCAGTGTGTGTGACTTGGGGGGGGGTGTCTTTCCAGGAGCCTGGAAACGAAGTAAACGGCTTAGCACCAGGACTTTACCAACTGAGCCATCCCACCAGACCATGTTTTCTGGTTCGTGAAACAGGGTGGAACTTAGAGTATAGCCCACGCTTTCTATAAATTTACAGTGTTACTATAAAGTCTGTGCTAGCCTCCTGTGTTTTGGGGTGACTGCTACTCCGGTCCCTAGCCTCCCCGAGGAGCTGTAGAACTTGAAGACCCTGGGATCAACCAGTTGCCTCCAAACCCTGCCCCCTCCCCCACACACAATGGCCATCTGTCAAATGAGTCACTTCAGAGACTTCATAGGGCAGGAAGTTGGAGCCAGAACCCAAAGGTTCCTGTTGTTGATTGGGTTCTCTGGAAACCCTTACAGTTTTTCTTTTTGTTGTTTTGTTTTGTTTTTCAGGACAGGGTTTCTCAGTGTAGCCTTGACCTGGATCTCACTATGTAGACCAGGCTGGCCTCAAACTCAGAGATCCGCCTGCCTTTGCTGATCTGAGTGCTGGGATTAAAGATGTTTGCCACCAAGACCCGATCTTTTCATGTTCTTGTTTTGTTTTTTTGCCCTCACCCTTATGAGGAATAGTCTCATAATCATGCTAATATCATTTCTAAGTAGTAGCTCAGCCAGTGAGGCTGAGCTGCCACTCAGACCAAGGTATCCTCAGCTGCACAGATAGGTCCAGGGAAGCCTGGGCTACATAAGACTCCATTTAACTAAACAAACAAAAATTAACTTTTCACCTAAATTCCCAACACTTGGGAAGCTGAGGCAGGGGAATCTCTGGGAGTTTGAGGCCAGCCTTGGTTACAGTGTATCCAGATCCATTATCACAAAGAAATGTGTGACACTCCCCATATAAGGTATGTGTTTGAGTTTTCTGGAAAAAAATTCTCATTTTGAGGGGGAGGCAGGGCACGCTAACTTGGTCCATGTTGGGGCGTATAGGTGTCAGTTTGAGAGCAAAGTTTGAAAGTTTTCATTAAAAAAAATCACAAACCCAACTCAATACCCTGTTCACAATACCCTGTGAATTTCATGAAATCTCATACCAAGGAAGTAAAAGGACAGTAGGGCTCATCATCTGGGAAGGATTTGGCTCTGGTAGCTAACATTTGCTCTCCAAGGCCTCAGCCCTGTTTCCAGAATTAGCGTCTACATGCTAGCCTGGGTCTCGGTGGGCGTCTGTAGAACCAGAGAGACGCAAGATGAACAAGGTGAGCAAGTTAAATTAAAGCTAAATGTCCTGGTGCTACAGCTGGACTGCTTGGGTCCCACTTTCTCGGGCCCTGCGGGGGGGGCGGGCCGAGGGCGGCGGGCAGCTGGACTGCTCGGGTCTCCCGCTTCCTCGGGTCCTGTGGGAGGGGCAGAAAGACTGCTTGGGTCGCGGCTCCCTCGGGCCCTGCACGGGGTGGGGGACGACACCGACTCTGGAACAGTCCAGAAGTAGCTGGGGAGCCCGCGACCCGGGGGTAGCCAGGGGGTGGGCTGGCAGGGAAGGCACCCAGTGGGTTGTCCTGGGGGGCGGGCCTTCGCGTGCGGCTGGCCAATCAAACACGCAGCCCTGGGCTTTTTAAAACTCAAATCAGTCATCCACGCAGTTAGAAATCAAACGATGATAAAATGGGGGCCAGTGAGGTGATTTAGCGACTGAAGGTGTTTGACCCCAAGCCTGACCTGAGTTTGAGCCTTAAGACCCTCTTGATGGAAAGAAAAAACCCACTTCTAGAAGTGTGGCGATGCCACACGCCCATGCATGTATGTACACACACACACACACACACACACACACACACACACACACCACCTCACCACCACCACCACCCCAAATAAATTTAAAAAGAAGCTTTAAAAAATGTGCATATTTTTAGGCCGGGCGGTGGTGGCACACGCCTTTAATACCAGAGGCAGAGGCCAGCCTGGTCTACAAGAGCTAGTTCCAGAGACAGCTAGGACTGTTACACGGGGAAACCCTGTCTCGGGGGAAAAAAAAAAAAAAAAAAAAAACCTTAAAAAAAGTACAGATTTTTAAAGTAAAAAATAATAAAAAATGAAATTGATGGGATTATATGTGTCAAACCAACAGAAGTTTTGGGTTTTTTTTTTAATACAATGTCATATTATGGTAGCTCAGGCTAGCTCAGAACTTGAGTGTAAAAATTCTAGCAGGAACACACAGTCTATGATGCTTTGTTATATGCAGCAGTTAAAAAGTCAGAAGCAGCTCACATACTTGGATCTTCCTTCATCCATTGTCCCCCAGGATGGGCGTGGGTGAAGACAGCTCTGGATGTTCTTGGAAGCAATGGTGGGCAGAGCAGCTAAATTTGGCCACCAGAGTAGGTCTCTCTGTCTCAGACCTGAGTCTCAGCTCCTTCATCATCACAAGCTGGAGGTAGGGCCTGGGGATCCACAAATAAGGGGGCTGGAACAGGGGAGCAGGGCTCACAAAGCTAAGGGAACTGACTAGCTGTGGAACACAGCACAGCAGACTGACCAGGCAGAAGACTCACTGTGGAGCCCTGCGGAAATGCCAGCTTGCTTCTCCATGCCCCTAGAGTCCATGGGGATTCACCCATAAGGCTGTATGTGCACAGATGGGATGGACTCAGGTCCACCCCCGGCATATATGGCGTGTGTAAGCCTGACCACACAACTGTCATTCTGCTATTCCCTTTATGTGAATGCATGGCTGTGGAAACTAAGCAGGTCCACATCCAAGTCAGAGTACTTGAGTTAGTTGTGGCTATGTAACATATGAGCCCGTTACAGAGTATCTGAGTTAGCTGTGACTATGTAACAAATGAGCTGTTATAGAGTATCTAAGTTAGCTGTGACTATGTAACAAGTGAGCCTGTTACAGAGTACCTGAGTTAGCTGTGACTCTGTAACAAATGAGACATTACAGAGTACCTGAGTTAGCTGGGGCTGTGTAACAAATGAGCCCATTACAGAGTATCTGAGTTAGCTGTGACTATGTAACGAGCCCGGCTTCCCCTGGCAGTGCCTTTGCTGACCAATACTATCTCCTCTCCCTGTATTGATAGAAGAAAGTAACTGACAAAACCCCCCACTGTGTCTAGGTGGCAGGACCTGGGACACAAGTCTGTGACCATCTCTGCCCATGTGTGTTACAACCTGTGGCTTCTCCACTGTTTAACATGGTCACTTCAGATGAAGTCCATCCTGCTCCACACTACCCTTGCACACACTTGGCCGTGGCACAGGACCTGTGAGGTACTCACATGCTCCTTCCTGGTTCTTTGCTGGAGAGCGGGTTCTGTCGCTGGCACCAAGGATCTTGTTCAACTCTGGAATTAAGAGATAACCCTGGACCCATCCGAGGAAGGCCAGCTTTAGCCTCCCCATCCTCTTTCTATGCTATAAGCAATGCAGACATTGCTAATCAACAGCTGCTTTCCACCTAGCCAGGAGCCCCACCCAACTGCTGCTCTGTGCAGACATCAAAGATCAATGACAGGTGGAACTCTCCTAAGGATGTATACAAGGTCTAGGGTCAGAAGCTCATCCAGGTTCCCCATTTCTAGACTTAGTTTACAGTCATTTAAACCTTCTACTCTTGGAAGTAGATGGCTCAGTGATTGAAAGCTTTTCCAGGGGATCTAGGTTCAGTTCCCAGCACCCACATGGCAGCTCACACCATCTGTGACTCCAGCTTCAGGGGATCTGACACCCTCATGGATAGACATGCAGGCAAAACACCACTGCACATAAAATAAAAATAAATCAATCATTAAAAAATATTCCACTCTCCTAGGCATGTAGGCTCAGGCACTCAGGATGCTGAGGCAGGAGGATTGCTTGGATGGCAGACCTACATCACCACCTCGGTTCCATTTTCTTGTTTGGCCACACATCAAGGGCATAGTCTCAGTCTGTTCCCTGGTTCCCCGTGATGCCATCATCTCTGGGTTCCAGCCACTTGTCTCACCTTCTGGGTCACTCTTCCCTCTTTGGAGGCTTTATGAGCTTCTGAGAGCTTCTGAGTGGACCCCAGACCAATCCTCTGGTACCAGGGACAACTGCCTCTCTCTCATCAGTCCTGAGAACTCCAATATCCCTGAGCATCTCACTCCAGTGCCCCTTTCAAGGAGTCCTCTTTCAAGGAGGCCCACCCAGTCCTGTGCTAGCATCCACAGGGACTGAGCCACAGCTGGGAGACTCACCTCTGTCAACTCTCTGCAGAAGGAGGCCCTGGATGACGTCCCTGCAGACACCCTCAGTGGTCAGAACCTGGCAGCCCATGGTCAGGATGTCCCCATCCACCTCAGGCTGTTCCTAGGACCACAGACAGGAGCTTGGCTGGATGCAGAACCCACATGTCATAATGTATGTCACGGTGTCAGAAATGGACTACATCCCACACCGTTGCTTCCTCTGAAGGGTCCTGCTAGCATCTCGTCACAGCCATCCTTGCGGTCCCGACCTTCAGCTAGCCAGAAGGCTGGGTCCTCCCCACCCACACCCTTCTGACTGCTTCTTCCCTCACTGTCACCCTGGATGACTCCTCTCTGTACCTTTTTAAAAAAAGATTTATTGAATGATTGATTGATTGATTATGTATACAATGTTCTGCCTGCATGTATGCCTGCAGGCCAGAAGAGGGCACCAGATCTAATTACGGATGGTTGTGAGACATCATGTGGTTTCTGGGAATTGAACTCATGACCTCTGGAAATATAGCCAGTACTCTTAACCTCTGAGGCATCTCTCCAGCCCCCTCCTCTCTGGTCCTTAACACACAAGGCCCAGTCCAACCTCAAGACCTTAGCACAGGCAGTTCTCCCTCCAAACCTAGCCCCATGGAGCCCACACACACTCAGCACTACTAGGGTCAAATTCTGGGAGTGTGTGGTCAGCAAAAATTAGGGAGGAACCAAGATGTAAACAGCTTTGTCAAGGCCAGAAGTGCCCTTCTACACCCAGCCTGGGGAGCAGAGGTGGGATCTCCAACTTCCAGTGGCTTCAGGCAAGAGTGAGCACTCTATTCCCTCCAGATGGAGAGTTCAGGTGTCCACTCACCAAGTTACAGCTCACCCCAAGCTGGCTCCACACAAAGGGCCAGAAGATTCCCAGCAGCCAGTCCCGGGTGAACCTCCACCGACTGGTCTCACTGTCCGAGGTGAGCTTCTGCAGAGGACACAACTGTGAGCTTCTGCAGAGGACACAACTGTGCAGCAGCCCGCAGTACTCAGGGCCACAGCCCCCACCCACCCACTCACCTCACCTTCAGCACAAGGCCCCTGACTTTCTCCAACTGCTCAGCTGCCTGGTCGCAGTCCAGAGTTGATGTCAGACACTTGTCGGCCAGTTGCAGGAAGGTGGTGACCGCAGCTGCTGTGAGCTGTGAAGGAGGAGCCCGGTGATCCCATACCCAGGACCACTGCTCTGGCTCAGGTGTCTAACGCCCAGCATTTTCCTAGCAACCTGGACCAGGCCCTGTGCCCTGGACTCTAGTCTCAGGATCTGCAGCCTCCCTGGGATTAGCCGCAGGCTGTCCCTCCTAGATGCCCATGTCCATGGCAGGGCCCTATTGCTGCCTTTGGAAACAAGCTGTAGCATAATCCTTTTGAACACTGTGAAGATTTGTCACTTGAGTTGGTTTAATAAAAAGCTGGTTGGCTGATAATTAGGCAGTATTTTGGGGGCAGAGAGAATGCTGGGAAGCAGGGCAGGCTAGGAAGAGGGTTGTGAGGATACACAGAGAAAAGCAAGATGAGCATGCTGTGTTGAAAGAAGGTAGCACTACATGGCAGCGAGTAGGTAAGCAATATGGATTAATTAATTAATTAATTTTGATTTTTCGATACAGGGTTTTTCTGCAGCTTTGAAACCTGTCCTGGAAGTCACTGTGTAGACCAGGCCTCAAACTCACAGAGATTCACCTGTCTCTGCCTCCTGAGTGCTGGGGTTAAAGGTGTGCGCCGCCACCGCCCAGCCATGATTAATTTAAAATGTAAGAGTTAGCTAGTAACAAGAACAAGCTATTGGTCGAGCATGTATAATTAATAAGAAGTCTCTGAGTGGTTATTCAGGACACAGAGAAACTCTTGTCTACAAAAACTCGTTTTTCTTTCTGTTTTAGATAGGGCCTAGCATAACCTACACTGGTATCAAACTCATTGTGAAGCTGGGGACAACCCCGGCATTCTGATCCTCCTGCTTCCACCGTCCAAGTGCTGGGCCAGGTGGGAACCATCACACCTCCATCTGGATCAGGGCTTCCAGCCTCCACCGCTTGCCTTTATAGGTAGAACTCCTAACAGCAGAGAGGGTTTTCTAAACCTTGGGTTTAGCTGAGCTCCTGCCTTAGCCCCCACATCTGCTGAGGCTCCCCATTGCCCACTGCAGACTTGCACACGCTCCAGGTTCTGCCTGTCTACCGGCGTGGCCCATTCCTTCCCCATAAAAGCACACTCTCCCTCTCCTAGGGATACCCAACATGGACTTCCTATTCTCTTTCCTCACCTGTTGTGCAAGATCTTGGGCCCCAAACACCAGGCTCTGCATCCCCAAGAAGCCAAATGGTTCTGCCAGCTGGGCCAGATGGCTGCGGTTTCGCTCTGCCTCCCGATAACAGGCTTGCATCAGCTCTGGGTCCCAAGGTATCTCCCCAAACTCATAAACCTACGTACATATGAATACCAGTCAGATGAGAAAACATCATTGGTTTACGATACAGACAGCTCAAGGTGAGCATGCTACTCTCGCTCACTTGCTAACCTCCCTGCGCAGCCGCGTGCCAGAAGGGTTCTTGCGCAGGTGGTGAGACAGCCGGTCCATGCCCCGGATGAGGAGAGTCCGAACGGCTTGGAGCGTGGCTTCCACGGGGCTCAGCAGCGCACGAATAATCTGGGGCAGTTGCGGGTCCACCATGCGGCACAGGCAAGCCTCCAGGGGGTCCCGGATCTCCGCTGAGGAGATATGTGAACCAGGAGTTTTCTCCACCAGGCACTTAGTAGATGCAGTAGGAGCAGGGACCTCAGCCTGGACAGCTGGGTACCCATTTTACAGCTGAGGACACTGAAACTAGGAGCAGTGAGACCTGGCCCAAAGGCACAGGCTGAGGAAGCTGAGTGTGTTTCAAAGCCAGATCTTAATACCTGGGCTGCAAAGGAGACCCTGCAAGGCCACTGCCACCTCGTGTCTCCCCACCTAGCCCACAATTTAACAGGCCTGGGTCTCCCCAGGCCCTAGGCTTCGCCTTCTCATCCACTGCCTTCTCAGGGCTTCTGACTAGAATCCAGAGTCAGACTCTAATCCTCTACAGTTGCTTCCCTTTCCCAACTCTATTCCTCAGGGCCCTCCCACCCCTATTAGGCTCCGCCTTCCACCGGCAAGACCCCGCCCCTTCGGGCAAATTGTCATCCAACCTGCTAGCTCCACCCTGATTCAGCTCCGTATCACCTACCCCTACCATACTTAGAAGGCTCAACTCCTGAAGCTCCACACCCGCTCCTGCAGCCCCCGCCCCTACATTTCCTGACCCCGCCCTTCGTTCTCCTACTCCATCCCGCCCAGTCTCCTCCCCTCGCTCTGTGGCCCCGCCCTATTTCTCCTGGAGCCACTCACTCCTAGCTCCGCCTCTCGCCCAACACCACCAACCATGTGGCCTCCCCCACCTCTCATCCCGCCCATTACCCAGCCCCCCCCCCCCCACACACACCTTCTAGTCTCCGAGCCCTTTGCGCTCGCTGCTGCAGGATCTGCTCGAGTTCTGCTCGCACCGTCCTCTCCAGCTTCGCTAGCAGCGCGTCCTTTTCTGGCTGGAAGGCACGCAGCCCTGCAGATACCCTGGCCAGGATGGCCGCGTGCACAGCGTCGAGGAACTGCAGCGTCGAGGGCGGTGTGAGCGAGCACGTGAGACTCGAAGCCGCCTTTCCCTCCCTTTTCTCCCTTCCCCCCCCCCCGCCACGCCCACTCCGCACCTCCGAGCAGGCCCGGGCCCGGGCGCGTCCCGTACTACGCAGGCTCCGTAGCGTCTGTGCGCGTAGTGCAGGTAAAAGCTCCCGCATCAGCTCAGCGCTCAGCACCTGTAGGGGAAGCTTGGGGGTGTAGTGTGCGACGGGTGGTAGAACCCGTCCGGGCCTGAGGGACACCGCTCACCTCCGCATCAGAGCCCAGTGTTGCGTCGTCACCACCGGCAAAGCCCCGACGTCGTCGATAGAGCTGCACGGTGTCCAGGAAGGCGCAGGCCGCGGGCGCCCGGCTGCGCTGCAGGACTGAGGATGCCTTTAGCCGGGCACTGTGCTCCAGCCCTCCCCAGGGAACCCCGCACCTACACCCATCGTCCTCTCGCGCCCCACCTCCGCCCTGGGACGCACCGGTGGCTCTCAGCCGGATGGCACCCTGCAGGCCGAGCCTCCAGGCGCGCTGCGCCCCCCTCGTGTGCGCACAGAAGCAGAGGTGGGCCCGGAATGGGTGCACAAGGAAGAGCGGGAAGTTCACCGGCTCCTCCAGCACCCTCAGCGGTTCCTCCTGGGCGAGGTCTCCTGAAAACAAAACAGCAGCCTGAAAGAACTGGTGTGACTTCGGGGCCAACTGGGGCTTTAGAGCAAAAGCTGTCTCAAAGATTAAACACAGCAGAAGCCCTAGTACTACGTGCGCCCGGCAAGATGAACTCTATCGTTCTGGAACAGGTGAACGGGAACAGAGTATGAGAAACTCGAAACCCAGAACCCCATCTGGTCTGTGCACCATGCCCCAAGCCTGCACACTGCTTCCCACTATGTCTGTCTCCTTGCATGTTTACTGACACTGGGTTTTATGTTTTTTTAAAAATTATGTTTAACCATCTCTATGTGTTTATGTGTGTGTAGATGCTTGAGGTCAGAGGCGCCAGATGCCCTGGAGCTGGAGTTCCAGGCAGTTGTGAGCAGCCTGATGTGGGTGCTGGGAATCTACCTCTGATTCACTGAGCCATCTTTCCAGCCCTATTTTTATTGTTTTGCTTTGTTACTTTTTTTTAATTTTTGTTTTTGTTTGTTTGTTTTCCAAGACAAGGTTTCTCTGTAAAACAGCCCTGGCTGTCCTGAAACATACTCTGTATACCAGGCTGACCCTGAGCTCAGAGCTCCTCCATCCTCTGCCTCCCGAGTGCTGGAGTAAAAGCATGCGCCACCAGCATTACTTTCGTTGTTCCTTAGACTCTTTGCTATTCGGGTTTTGTTCCATTGACTCTACTGGTGTCCTCCCAGGGACAGTGGGCGGCACTTTTCCTTCACAGAGCAAGAGTTCTCACTCAAGGATCAACAATTCATCCACCAAGGGACAACTGTAACATCTGTAGACACTGCGAGTCACACTGTGGGTAGGAAGTTGCTTCTGTTACTAGACAGAGGAGGACCAAGTCAATTTCACCAAGTGCACAGGGGGTGGGACGGCCACAGAACACAGAGGAAGGAAAACTAAGGGAACCCAGGAATCCTTACCAGAGGAGCTTGGGCAGAGGTCATCCAAAAGGCACAGGTATTCACGCTGGGAAGTGAGCAGTGTGTACCCTGTCAGGGCTGTGGAGCCCAGAGGACGGCCCCCAGACTCATACTCCTGTGACCAAAGACATGAGACCACACTGAGGTTCCCCAGTAGAGGCAAGCAAACTCCCAAAGCACTCCCTACCCCTCTGGGCCATGGGCAACTCAGGATCTTAGCTTGTTATTGACCAGAGCTCTGCCACTGAGCCACGCCCCCGTCCCTCACTGGGAATTCTAGGCAGGGGTTCCACCCCTGAGCCACGCCCCCAGCCCCTCACTGGGGATCCTAGATAGCAGTTCTGATCATCTCACCTCTTTTTGGCTGAACCATTCCAGGCGTCCATCGCCACGCAGGACACAGAAGGTGGGTTGCCACTGTGGCGGGTGGCCCCACAGCAGGGTCAAGGATCCTTGGTGCTCCCGGACTCTAGGCAGCTTCTGCAAGGGGATGCCAGCTGTCATTGGCTCTAGAGCAGGATTTAGGGTTCCCTGAACTGTGCCCAAGTCTCAGATGCCACCAAAAGCAGGACATTCAGCTTTTTTTTTTTTAAAAAAAAAACAAAACATTTAATTGATTAACTGGGACAAGATCTGACTCTGGTACCCCAGGAAGGCCACCAACTGCTGGGTCCCAATGACCCTCCTTCCTCAGTTCCCCCAAGTAGTCAGTCTATAGGCAGCCTGGGCTACAGAGACCCAAAGGAAGACTTGTCACGTAGGTTTGGTCACACATACCCACTACCCTCCAAGGCTCTAGACAGCAGCTGCCATCAGAACCTGTCAGCCCAGCACCAGAAGGCTGAGGCAGGAAGGTCAGGAGTTCAAGGTCAGCCTCAGCCACACTGCAAATTCAAGACTCTGTCTCAAACAAACAGAAACGGAACTGTAGTAGGTATGAGGATGCCCTGCATGGGACAGGGCGAGTCCCAAGATGTGACCTCTGCCCACAAAGTCTCCCCACAGCAGGGAGGGAAGGGAGCCGCCAGGAAACCTGAGGTTCCAGTCACTGAGCCTGCAGGACTCATTCTACCTCTGTGGTCCTGACTGTGCCAGGGTAGGGGACAGATGGAGGCCATGGGGGGACTCTTAGTGGCTACAGTTCCAGGCTGTCTGATCTCATAATCCCTGAAGTGCCAAGAGCAGGGTCAGAGGGACAAAAGGACAAGAATCAAGGGGTCCTATCAAGGAGTGTCTCCCTGGTGCTGTGCTTGCAATAGCAGGGCAAGTACATGCAGAAGCTACCCTGCCCCCGGCATCTACCCAGGCTTGCCAACCTCAGGGCCTTTGCACATGTGTGCCCCCTGTAGGGAACACCCTTCTCCATGCCTCCTCTGCCTGCCTCCACCTCCCCAGCTCCATGTCCCCAGTCTCATGTCACTGAACTCAGAGAGGGACACAACCACAGTTGGTGCCTGGCAGGGAGCCTCATCCTCAGTGACACGCACTTTGGTGTGGGAAAGCTGGCATCTGGCTGGCGCCTGGGGTTCCAGTTCCCTGGAGATCTGCCTCAGCATGGCTGCCGCCAGCTGCCTGCGGTAACAGGGCAGGAAGGCCCTTAATAGGCCATCCACCTGACCTGTGGGGGAGAAAGGAACAACACTGTGGCCAGGGGACCAGCCTGTCATCTCAGGTCAAACTGGCCAGCCAGATCAACTCTGACACAGGCAAGACCCTGCCTCAATGAATGAGGTGGGAGGCACTCTAAGAGGACAATACACACACACACACACAAAACGTTTCTCCATCCAAGGATATTGTGCCTTGGAGAATGAGGCCCAGAGAGGGGGATTCACTCGCCCAACAGCACACAGCAAATGCAGGTAGCAGTCAGTGCTGGGACTTGGAGAGCTGCTTTGCAGCACAGGCAGGACTTTGCAAGCGCTGTTCCCCTTCCCCAGTGCTGTTCCCACACTCACTGCTAACTGCACACCCTCTTCCAACCTGGCCTAACCACCTCCCCTTGGGGGACAGCACCAAATCCTGTTAGTCTGGACCATGATTGTCCAGCCCCACTCTCCAAGGACCAGTAGAGGACAGTACAGGGAGTCTCAGTGCCAGTCCATGCAGCCAGGCCTCCCAGCCATGAGGACCCTTGACCTCAGTGGGCCCTTGAGTCCCCTAACAAATAAAACACGCCACATTTCACTTTTCATTTTCTTTTCAGACAGGGTCACATGTAGCCCCAGCTGCCCTGGAACTCACTATATAGTCCAGGCTGGCCTCGAACTCAGAGACCTGTCTCCCGAGTGCTGGGATGACAGGCCTGTGCCACTACACTCAGCTACTCGAGTTTCACTTACATCTGGAATCTTCCAAAGCCAGGCAGGGGAGACGCACATCTTTAATCCCAGCCCACGGGACACAGAGGCAGGCGGATCTCTGAGTTTGAGGCTAAGGTCTACAAAGCGACTTCCAGGCCAGCCTGGTCTACACAGAGAAACCCTGTCATGAAATAATAAACAAAAAACCCTGGACTCTTCCAACCCAAGGCAGGACAATGACAAGCAGACGCTTGGTGCCAGGAACCCATGCCAGTGTGGCCTCCTGCTGCAGTGGGACCCCTCTGCTCACCCCTCAGCTGCTGCTGCTGACGCTTGTCCAAGGGGCTGGAGGGCCGCACCCCCATCCTGTTGCTGTGCGAAGCTATCCTGGATCCCACTGCTCAGGGTGCTGAGTGCCCCAAGTTCCAGGAGGGTAGTCTCGTTCAGTACAACCCTCTGCCCCTTCCTGTCTGCACCTGCCTCCTCCTGCCCCTGGGGACAGGCTGGACCAAGACTGAGGGTTTCTGTGGGGGACAGTGGGGACCGCCCCAGGGGAAACCAAAGCAGTGTGGGAAAAACAAAGCCCTGGCACAGGTGGCCAGGGTGGGGTGGCACATCTCTGCCATTCCAGCACTCAGAAAGCAGAGACAGGGGGATCAGGAGTTTAGGTCCTGCAGGGCAGCCTGGGCTACATGAAGTCCTGTCTCAACAAAAGAAACAGACAGCTGACTGAAGAAATGAACAGCCTGAGGCACGGGCTGCCAATGTGTAGGGAACATAACACCTGCCCACGAGGGAAGATGACCCCTTAAGCAATTTCATTTTCTCCCCTTTCCAGAGGCTAGAACACGGGCACGACAGGCGGAACATTAGCAGCTGCCTTGGAGTATGGGCAGGACCTATGCCGCGGTGTATAGGCACAGCAGTGATGTCCCCTTGAGACAGGGACAGGAACGGTACATGTCCCTCACGTGAGGGCTGCTCACACGGGTCCTCATGCCCACACATGTCACTCTCCTTTCAGCCCGTCTCAGCCTGTGCCCTTGGCTGTCAGAAGTCCCCAGCAGGGCAGCTCCCTTCCTGTTGTGCCCACACTGTCTTCTGTCCCAGCCTGCCCCACTTCCTCATTGTCACAGCCGAGAGTCCTCAGCGACCACACACCAACAGAAACTTCACATCTGTGGTTCTGGACTCATCCTTCCATGCCAAGTTGGCTCAGGGAGGTTTCAATTCCCACCTCAGGCCTGGCATGTGTGACCTTCCTGGGGATGCCCCTCAGAACCCCACACTCAGCCAGGCCACCAGCCTCCCCAACTAGGCCCCTAGTTGGGCCATTGATGCACACATCCATTTCATGCTCCAAGGAGGCTGCTGAAGCACCAGCCATTATGCCCACATTTTTGCTTCTGTAAGAGGAGTTAGGGGAGAAACCATCTAAGAGGACATCCCAAAAGTCACCTCAGACACTTCTCTCGTTGTTACGTGACCCTGCGGCATCATCAGGGGAAGCTCAAGGCTCTAAGCAGGCCTGCAGGGAGACTGAGGCACTGGCTGGGGTGCCAGGTGAACCCTGACATGTTCCCTCGGCCTATCTCCCTTCTTCTACCCTAGTTGCCACAGGACCGGAACACAAGCAGCCACGTGGTACCCGTGAGCCAGTCTTACGCTTGGAGCTGAAAACGACCCTTTCTTCATTCTGATGTGTGCACTGCGGGGCCAGAAGCTCAGGCTCCACATTTCTCTGAGGCCCCTTGTTCTGTCAGTGGCACCCGAGGTCACTGCCTGGCCCCATCCTCCGCCACCAAAAACCACAGGGACCAGAGTTCCAGAACGCTCCGTTTAATTCTCAGTTGTCTCGCTCCCGCGGCCCCCGGAGGCTTTTCCAGAAAGCCTGGGGCGGAGGCCGGGGGCCAGCCCCGAAGTGCCCACGCGTGCGTGGCCTGCGCTACAGCGTGGAATGCTTCTCGAAGGGCACCGACAGCAGACGCGCGGCCGCCTCGTCCAGGAACCAGCAGAGGGCGCCCGTGCGCGGCTGCACCATGGTGGCAGGCAGTGAGCAGTCTTTGTCTTCCAGGATGCGCTGTGTGTGAGACCCAGGACACTGACTCAGACCCCAGCGCGGGACCAAGGGGCAGGGACTGGGAAATGTTTGGATGTAGGGACAGGCACCCGCGGGTTCTAAAGCTCTGTGGAACAGGTTTGTTTGTTGTTCTATTAGGAGGAGGCAGGGCTTCATGTAGCCCAGGTGGGCCTTGAACTTGCTATGTAGCAAGGATGGTCCTCCTCTTTCTGCCTCCCTAGTATGGGGACAACAGGTGGTGCTAGGAACTGAACTCAGGTTGTCTGAGAACTCAAAGTCTGAACTTAAGTTTGGTGGCAAGTCCCTTTACCCACTAAGCCATCTTTTCCCCCTTATTTTTTTTTAATTACTATTTTATGTGTGTGGGTGCTTTTCCTGCATGTGTGTGTACCATGTAAATGCCTGGTGCCCCACAGAGGCCAGAAGAAGGCACCTGAACCCCTGGACTAGAGCTACAGATGGTTGTGACCTGCCATGTTGGTGCTGTAAATCGAACCTGGGTCTTCTGGAAGGGCAGCAGGTCCTAACCAGTCCGTGCCATCTTCCCAGCCCAGGCTTCATCATCTTCATCATCTTCATCATCATCATCATCATTTTAAATGTGTTTGGTGTCCCTCTCTATCACCCTGTACCTTATTCCCTTGACACAGGGTCCCTCACTGAGCTGGAACTAGGCCAGTAGCCATCAAGTCTTAGGCATCCTGTCCCCAAAAAGGGGTTAGAGACACAGATGGCCACACCAGCAGTCACTTGGGAGTAGGGCCTGTGATCTCTGCAGATTTCCCTCTCATATTTTGTCCCGTGACCGCCCTTCTGACCTCCCGTGACCGCCCTTCTGACCTCCCGTGACCCCCCCCCCCCCGTGTCCGCCCCGTGACCTCCTGTGCCTGCCCGTTACCTTCAGCACAGCTGCCTTGCCTTCCCCTGTGGCCACGAAGATGATACTCTGGGCTGCATTCAGCACAGGGAGCGTCAGGGTCACCCTCTGCGGTGGTGGTTTTGGGGAGTCACTGATGGGAGCCACAATCTTCTCTTGCTCCTGGGGGAGGAAGACCAGTGGGAACAGGTCATGTCTACCCTTGTGCTGTATCTGTGGTGCTGCAATGGAACCTGCAGCCGCCAGCTCCCGCCCAAGCACCAAGTGTACAGTGTCGGCAGGTCTTCCTTTGATAATCCTTTGGGTTTTTGAGGCAGGTTCTTACTCTGTGACCCAGGCTGCCCTCAGCCTTACTGTGAGCCTCGTGCCCCTTCCCAAGTGCTGGGATGACAGGCATTTGCCACCATGCCCAAGGGGTATGAGGCTCAGCAGGGCTGGGCTGGGAGGGGATCCCCATGCTCACCTGTAGGAGGGGATGACCAGGGAAGAGCGAACATGTGTGGCCGTCAGGGCCCACTCCCAGGATCAGCAGGTCAAACACGGGGACAGTGTCTCCTTGGAAGGCCTGATGGGGAAGATGGTAGTCAGAGTGTGCAGGGCTCAGAGGTCACACAGAAAGAAGTTGGAGCCAGGTTTCCATGTCTGGGTTCCTCAGCCCCACCTTCCACTGAGAGGGTGTCACTCAGCAAGAGCATGCCCATCACATTCTCTACAGAGTACAGTGACCACCCTGGCACTGGGCAGCTCTGGCATGGTATGAGGGCTGTGGTATTTTTGAGTTGAGTGTCACCCTTAGGCTGGTCTGAAGTCTGGCCAGGCTCCTGCCTCAGTCTCCCAAGTGCAGGGTCACAGACACCATCCTGATCCAGACTGGAGGCTCAGTTTCCCTTTCAATGACCAGGAACCTGGGGTCTGAAGATGTGAAACCCCAGCCCGAGTCTCCCTGCAACTGGTCACCCCCTCAGAGTGACAGCTTGTGTCCCCAAGTCTTCTACGGCTTCTCCACTTGTTCTGGGACCCACCTGCCTCAGTTTCCCGGCATAGTCCTCTGCGGCGTCCTCCACGGGCAGGGCAGGATTGACAGTAAGGACCTGGCTGTGTGGGATTGGCAGCTTTGAGAGCAGGTGTGTCTGCGGAAGAGGAAGAGACAATCAGCGAGTGACCTGACAGTGGCATCAGATGCCTAGCACAGTACTGTCCTGACATGGGCTTGTCTAAAGCAACCCTGTGTCGCTCACACTGGGCCCTGCTCCACCGCCTGGCTGACTCCCCCAGCTGCCTTCTTCCAGAGCCGGAGCTGCCTGGGGCTCCCTATCTTAGGGACCAAGCTTGGCTGCATCCAGCATGCAGCTGGCACCTGGTGGGCCCCTGGGAAGAAGGTCCTCATTAAATTCCAGGGCCTTTGAGAACCGGGCACCACCTAGACTGTGTCTCCATGTCCAGCTTAGTGGGGCAGGCAGAGGCTTGCAGCAAATGGCAGAACGCCGGGGTGCTGGCACCCTAAGCAGATGGGGAGAGTGGAGATCTGAACCAGCCAGAGTTCAGGACGAGATGAGCACAGGCTCCAGACTGAAGGCCACAGGAAGGTGTGAACCAGGAAGGCAGAGCTGGACCGGGCAGCCTCTGGGCAAGACCCTCACTAGGTCAGGACCACCTAGTGAACCCCATCTGCCTGCTGGTGAAATCCTGTATCTCTGGCTCACCTCAGTCTAAGACAGCGCTTTTAACTGTGTCCCCCTCAGGGGGACCTATTTAGCGATCCTTTCTTACATGGGTAGCATTAAAATGGTCTCATTTAGCATAGGCTGGCCTCCAGTTGGGTAGTAGGTGATGATCTTGAACTCCTGATCCTCCTGCCTCCAGCTCCCAGTGCTGGGAGTGCAGGTGTGCACCATTGTGCTTGGTTTATATGACGTTCAAATGGAACCCAGGACCCTGTGTATTTTAGGCAAGCACTCTACCAACTGAGCCTTGAGCTCAGTACCCACAGCCCACCGTCCAGTGAAGTTCTTGGGCAGGTACTGCGTTCAAAGTCATGCATTTCAAAACTGAGGCCCCTAAATGAGAGACCTGCATCTTCTGGTCTGTTTCCCCACCTTGAAGTGAGTGTGGTGGCCCCTGCCTCTAGGTCAATGACAGTGGGCGATCCTCCCCAAGGGGGCAGTGGCAGACACCCAGGGGTGCTCAGAGCTCAGTCTTCCATGCCTCAGTCTCCCTGTGCGTGAATCAGGGCGCTCTGGACCCTATAGGGGGCCAGGTGGCCGTCAGATCCCAGGCTGCTCGTGTTAGAGATGAGGAAACTGAGGCCCAACACACCCTGGACACCAGACGCAGGGTGAGCGCACCAACAGCCATGGCCTACAAGGCTCCATGGCCGGGGCGCAGCCCTCAGGAAGATGCGGGCTCGCGGGGGCCCTTCAGGCCAGGCTTGGGTGGACGTCACTGCACATTCCGCAAGACCCAGGGCGACCCGTAGCCCGCGCGTAGGCGTTGAAGCAGCTCCTGGGCATTTCCTCGGCAGGCGGAGCCGGTTAGACGTGGCCCGCGGCGGCCCCCGTAGTCCGCACTTCCTCGGCGGACGGGGCCGGCTCCGCGTGGCCC